GATGGAAAACCGCTGAAAGAAGACGACCGCGTTATCATCATGAGTCACGGTAGGCAGCGGACGTTGAAGATATTATCTGCAAAAGAAACTGATTATGGGACATATGGCTGCGAAACGTCCGACGGAAGAAACAGAACTGAGGGAGAACTGGTAGTGAAAGGTGGGACATGATGTTTTTCCCGTGTAGACTCTTGAAAATATGTTTTTTTTCAGCAGACGAACCCAGCATAAGCACTGGCCCTCAGGATCTCACAGTCAGTAAACTGGGAACCGATGCGAAGCTTCACTGCGAGTTCACAAGACCACCCCACAAAGTGTTGTGGTACAAGAATGGGCAGGAAATCTGGCCACAGTCGGACAAGTATGCCATCACCACCTCGGGAAATACTTCGACTCTTGAGATTCGTAACATTCGAGAAGAACGACATCGGGGAGTATTGTGCTGCTCTGAGCGAAAAAGAAGTTTCTGCCCCAGCCCAGCTCAAGCTCGAAGTGGCCCCTGAAATAGTAATTCAAGAAAACTTGGAAGATGAGCTGGTGTTCAAAGCCCACGAAGAGCTGGCCTTCCACGTTGAGGTTACCGGCCACCCGACCCCCATTGTCACCATCTTACACAAAGACTCACGAATTCAGAACAGGGCTGAAGTCGAAGAATACGATAACGTCGTTAGTGTCCGCATGAAGAATCTCAGCCGGGATGACTGTGGCACTGTGAAGATCACCGCAGAGAACCCAATCGGAGCTACGCACAAAGAACTTAGCCTGACTGTTCTCGATGTGCCTTCTGAACCACTGGGTCTGACTTCAGCAGAGACCTCCACAAACTCTACAATACTCTCGTGGCACAATCCCGAGAAAGCTAATGGAGCTCCAATCACCGGCTTCATAATAGAGCGTAAGGCCGTTGACAGCAATCGTTGGCGTCCCATAGGCAAGACAAACGCCACCACACTACAATTCGAAGCAACAGACTTGTTCAGCGGTCTAGTATACGTTTTCCGCGTCATCGCTGTCAATTCTGTAGGAGAGGGGCCACCAAGTCAGTCAGTTGATGTTCTCACCAAAGAGGATGAGGAATCGAACCTGGACTCGTCTGAGAGTTCTCTTCTTGAGACTCCCAGTCCTCCTGAAGCGGTTTTTGACGGAGCAAAGGTGATGTTGTCGTGGAGCGCAGTTCCCGATGCTAACGCCTACCAACTCGAGCGGCAGTGTGATGCAGGGGACTGGCTTGAAATCGCTAAAGTGGAGAGTACAAACTTTGCGGATTCATCTTTGCTGCAACAAGGGTCCTATTGCTACAGGGTGATTGCTAAAGGCTCAGCTGCCGAGTCCATGCCTAGCGGCTCCAGCGCTGCTTTGGTGGTACATGCGGATGTTTCACAGGGGAAGGATAAAGGAAAACATGTTGGGAAGAAGGAAGCCGAAGGCGAATCGGATCCCAAGGAGCTAGAAGTATCAGATGAGCGACAAGAGGAATTACCCAAACCGGTGTCAAAGAAGCCGCTGAACCCTGTGGATGATATTGTGAACACCAAACAGAGGCTGAAGAAAAGAAAGCCTGTGGAAAATGAACGACGATCGTCAATCCAACAAAATGTTGATGAAATGGTTACTCCGTCCCCGTCAGAGATTATCAAAACGAAAGAGGAATTGGAAGAAGGCGAAGCTGAAGTGACAAGTAAGCTTGGGGCTGAGCATCAAGGAAACCTTGGAACCGAAGAAGCTGGTAAAAAACCGTCCACTAGTTCAGAACCAGATGCAGGAGCGCATGTGCCTCCTGGTGGAACAGCAGCCACTGCGCCAACGGATACGCGAGGTACGGATTCTTTTAAATTGCTTTCGAGTATTTCTTCTCAGTGCAGCTTATTCTTCCTTCCTTGCAGGGTTATCTGATTAGTTTTCACTTGGCGCTATGCCTGATCAACAACTCTGTTAAGGTAAACCATGCATTCAACTCGAGTCGAACCGCGTAGAGGTGAAGTCAGGTGAAAGTACCACACTGAAAGTGAATGTGACAGGAGGACCGGAATTGAAATGTGTGTGGAGAAAAAACGGAAAAATTGTAAAGGTATGAAACCTTGAAGACTTCCCTTCTGCTTGCCAAATTTTTTGGAAAAAAAACAACAATGAGCCCGAGCCTGTCAGATGTTCCTTTCAATGGTGGGCATTGACCTCTCGAGAGCGAAGCTGTCCCATTCAAGGGGTCCCTCGCTCTGCTATGACCGTTTGCTCTTCGGCACAAAGTCTGTTTTCAGCAGCAGTTCGAAGCTTGATATTTTTCAGTAGTTGACGGTTTTGTGCAGTCATATCAGTGCAAACGATAGGGCATCTGACGGGGGACGGGGCATGGCTTGGAATGCAGCCAGATCAGGCCATCAGCTGTTTTGGGGCGCCGCGTCACACGCCCAGTCGCTTGCAGGGGTCATGAGTGTAGCTCTCAGTGCGGCAAGAGGAAGTGATAACTTCTTGAACAGCGTATCAATCCTGAGTTCTTGCCCGAGCTACATACCGGTGCTTTCATAGCTGCAACCGCGTAGTTCGCAATTTAGCGCAAACAACGCTATAAAATAGGAACTCTGGAAGGTTTAGAGAAACTTTGTGCTCTCCGCCGAAGCGTTTGACCTGAGCTGCCAAATAGTGTGTTGTTGATAGCGCACTCTGAAAATGGCAAGGTGGCGCTGTTGCGGTCTCCAGTGACGGAAGGTCATTTTGCACTCTTACTATTTCTTTTGGTTTGATTCGCGTTCGCAAGTTGGTACTTGGTAAAACGAGTAAGATACTCGCGAAGCCTGGTCCAGGTCTATACAAGGTGAATGTACAAGCTTCGCTTGAGTGCGGGACTCGGCTGCCGGTCATCAAGTCGAACTGCCTGTAACGTTTCAATGGCGGCACAACCTAGAGCGGTCGTGTGCGGTGTGTCGGAGCTGGTGTTGGTGTCGAGATTGGAAGGTGGAGAGTCCGATGCGTCAGTTGTTTTAGGGTCGGATTTCGTTTAACAACGGAATTCATAGCTTGGATGACCACAGTTCAGGTCGTGTTCAGCCAGAGCCTGGATATCATAAGAATTCGTGGTGTTTTCAGCGTCTCGCTGATCTGCTCATGGAAAAATCTCATTCCGGTGAATTTGAAACTCGACATGGCATCATTCAATAGAAATGGCTTACTAGTGCAGGACGATGCAAAGACACCCACAGAAGCCAAAGAGCGGGGATTCGTATCTGCTGCTTATGCTTGTAGCAGTCAAGAGCGCAACGATTGGTGATCCGCTCCTATGTAAGTCCTGACCATACCTGATCATTTCCTATCGTCACACGAAGTGTACAGACGCAAAGAAAGAAGGTTACCCCGACAGGCTGCGCGTTAAAAGACAGTTCCGAGACGGAGGTGTCCGGCGAAATGCGCGAAATGCATTTGTATCAACAGGTTTGCACTCACAGAGACCCAGCTGGGTATCTTACTTTACCTTATTTACCGTTTGGTCATGCGAAATTGAGAAGCGCCGCAACGCGTAACTTGCATTGCTGCGCACTTTGTTCTTGTTCAGGACTTCTGCCAAGTCGCCTGTAAATAGGTGAACATTTCGACTACTGCGGTGTCACGAGTGTTGTATCTCTTCTGATAAGCATTCAAATACAAGCGCAGTAGTATCCACTTCCCAGGAGATGTTTTTAGCGCTGATTATACGCAGGCGATAAAACTATTTGAGAAAGCCAGTCTGCACTTATCAGAGTCCTAATATTTCATGCTCCAAGTCTTCGCAGCTATTTTGCTCTTTCAAATATGTTTTGTTTTTCTCCTTTTCCAGTACTGTAGATGGCAACTGGAGCGATGACGAAGAAACTCGATTTGTGAGTCAGAAGGGTTGTGTCAGAAGGATATCAGGGTGTCGAGTTGCCAGCATCCCGTGGAGATAAATATTGGGTCTCCCATAGTAATGGCGGTTGTCTTCCTCACAACGCTAAATATCGATGCTAAACATAAATTTATGTCATTCGACGTTTTAATAGCTGTTTGTTGCAGAAGAGATTCCAGCCACATATTCTATAGTCTCCTTTAGTTCTCAGACAGTTTCCTTTTCCACCCAATACTTAAGTACTCAAACTAGAGTGTCAGTCAGGTCGATGAAATTGAGCGTTTTCGACAGCCACCCTTCTTACCTCTAATAAAAGCTCAAACCACACAGGCCCAGTTGCTAAGTATATGGCCAAGATGCTATGTCTCTTAGGAATGCTTACAGTAGTTTAAGTGATTAGAAGATTTCAATTTCGACCTCATAGACAAGCATCGAACCTAATGCCCTATTGTGTCCAACTGAGAGCTTACGGAATTACCTTATTCACGGAGATTCATGCCAAAGATTGAGGAATCGTTAGAGGTCATGGAATGCTTCCTTTTCATTATCAACTACCTTCCTCAGTTGATGTTAGACGTTCGAAAGTTGGTGGATGGGTTTTGCAGGCAGCCCCTCCCCCCCAGAGGGCGCCTCCGTGCGCTGAACATTTACAAGGTCCGAATTCCCAACTCTCAATCGCTTGAACCAACTTCAAGCTGTCATAAGACGCATCTCTCGTTTATCATTTATGTCACAAGTTTCGAGCTTGTTCTGTAGTTCGACAGCCGAGATAAAGTGCAAAACGTTGTTGTAGAAAACTCACTTTGTGACGACCGGACACTCCATTTCAAAGAATAAAAATCGTAAGAAACCAAGAAAAGTATGAAGGCAACCATACATCTTATAGAGCGGAAAATTATCTATCAAACAGTGTAGAACACATTGGGAACAATTGTCATTTCCATATAAAAACTTGTGTGAGAAAAACGCCATTACTTATGAGCCAACCTAATACAATGAGGCTGCGTTACTGTCAGGGAGAGGTTTTGTTTAGGGTTTTCTCAAGGTTTTTTTGCTTCTCTCTCTCTGCTGGGCAGTCACTCGTCGCCTAATGGTTCATAATTCAACATCCGCTACCCGCAATAGGGCTCAGCCGGGGGGGGGGGGAGAAGGGCATGCACTTTTGCTGCTTCACTAGTTCTAGTTTACAAGTCTCACTCTGGTGAAACCTGTGAACTCTTGTGAAGCTGGAGCAAGCTCGTCGAGCCACCATGCTAAAACCTGTCAACTCTTGTAAGCTCATGTAACAGCTCTACAGCTCTCTAGATAGCTCTACACGTCGATACGAAGTGGCAAAAGTGCAAAATGCCCCCACCCCGTCGCCGAACTGCGCCGTGTATCAATACCACCTCTGATTTGTTCCTATCGTGCGATAATTGAACTGAAATCAGTATTTATCTGTGCTAAGAATGAAACCAAAGAGCGGGTACTCTTGGTAACTAGGGAGTAGTTCTTGGCGTTTATGACTCATGTTGCCTTGGTAGCCTCATTGGCGTGATGTATGTAGTTCTTATTTCCTCTCACGGCTCCCTCGTCATTCACACGCACGTGGGTGGCGATTGCTGCATCTTATCAGGATCCCTAAGACACGCCATCTTGCTGAGAGTGGAGACTTTTCCACGAGCTGGTGTTGACGACTGACTCAGGTCATCGATGATATTGCTTATTTTCGGGTTCAGCTTTCACTCGAACGTAGGCTGTTGTAGAACAGTGATATGACGTCTTCTATGAAACTATCGCCCTGAAATCGTAGAACCCACTTGCGTGCACTTGAACGCGTGCTGAGAACTCCTGATGTTCACCCGATTAAGAAAGCACTGGACTTCGATTCACGGGGCAAGTGGCTACGCAAAACTCCAAAGAACGACCACCAAGCACCATAAACGAATGGTGGAGGGCGGGGGTGAGACGTCATCACGAAGGATTCCATTAAAGGCACTTCCGCAACTGCACATTATAGGTAGCAGACTTCAACTGGCTTAGGAGCACATTGTGCTAGTTGCCTTAGTAGGGAAGAAGAAAATCTGAAAAATCGTCCTCAATAGGACCCTCCTCCTTGGGCCTCCTTGGGCCTAAAATTGAAGTTTTCGGGTGCTTTGCGTGCCATTTTGCAAGTTTTGAATGCAATGCAACCTCTACAATCGCCTACCGGATCATCTGACACATTTAAGAGGCCTTAGTTTATTGCGGGAAGTGCCTTTAAAGTTAGACGACGGCAGGAGCTGCTTTGATAGAAAAAGTGACGATTCCTATGAAGAATAGCAGATCTTGCGACGGACTCACTAACGAAAGAAGGTAGAAAAAGAAGAAGACTTGGGCGCAGTCGTGAAGTCGTATTTCTGAAGAAAAAATTCAAAAATTTCCTTGAAGATTCCAGCAATCAGGTGTCTTTCCGAAGAACTGCAGATCAACCGCAGATATTTACACTCACGGTCCAGTAAGTCGAGAAAGAGCAATTCGAGGAGCATTCGTTTGGGAACGGAAAACCTTTTTATGGCCCCTTCTGTGTTGACAACCTCAACTTATCCTCCACCTTATTATGGTCCGAATCGAAGGTCTCAGCCAGAACTGGTGAAGAGATCCTGATCATGACGTGCTGGCTTTTGATTTTTGATCAGCGGTCAAGAGTCACAGCTGGCTTCTCGAGTGGTGTGAAAGTGTCTTTGGTGGAAATCAGAGTTCAGAGCCAAACTTACCACTGCGGGAAGTAGTTGCTGCTACGAGCTTGTAGGCATGTTCATGTTTGGATGCCCTCAGTGTAGGTCCAGGCATCCCCTAGACCACCGTTTTACAGAATACAGATCAGTCAGCAACCATATTTTATTATGGAAAAAGCAGCAAGGGGGGGGGGAGTGGAGCGAGCCGGCGGCAGAAGACGGTCAGAAGTGGTTCCGATGTTTGCGAGAGTGACTAAATCGGTTGTAGTGGTCTCGGTATTGGCGGAAACCTTGCTCGCCCGAGGCCTGTAATCAGCTTAGATCAGCATGCATGTATTGTGCATACCAAGTCTGCATGCGTGTAGATCCTCTGTCAGTCACGGTGTACGAGCCGATAAGCTTTTACTTCACCCCTCGGTCTAGATCAAGAAAATGCTGTAAGGAGGTTCATCAGG